TTTCAGCGAAGACTCGAACAAGGATATAAATATAATTAAATTGATTAAATTTATATATAGTCAAGCTTATTAAATTTAAATATAGTTAAATCTATTAAATTTATGTACAATTAAATTTGTTACATTTAAACATGATTAAATTCATCGCATTTAAAATTTTGACAATTGGAATGTCCATTTGATCCGATTTCTAAAAGGTTTAATCCGTTCTCGATGGGTGTCCAAATATTTCGGCGAGCAATTGTACACAAAATATCACACATTTATTTAAGAATACCATCGTCGGCAGTAATTAAAGCGAGCAAAGAACACGCCTGCACCAAAAGAAAGGTACGTAATTTGTCTCGCTGCGACTGCGTCCAGGAGAAACGAATGGCGAATCGATGGTTAGAAAAGAGAGGGCACGTAGCTCCCATACATCTCAAAACAAGATGTTAATGTCCGACGCGCGCTCTTTTACGACGGAAGTCTCTATTTAACAGACTGGCAAAAAGTTTTCAATTTTCGGCGCCAGTCGGCTGCCTCTCTCTCGGACTCCGCGGAACGGCGCCGTGACATTTATTGCGAAAGCGAACGTGATCTACGATGCTCGGTGTTCTTCGTAGAACCACCCTCTCTACCTCTTCCCGATACCACCCGTCATTCGCCCATCTTGCTCGCCCGGCCCTTATTGGAAATGCAAGAAAGGGAACGGCTCGTTGTGTTCCGCTCGCATTCCTGTTTACTCCAATTCCGCGCGAATGTGGCTCCGAGTGCTTATTGTTAGGACGAAATCGTGCCCCATGAAATTACAAACTGGTCCGCGTGCGTCTCGTAAATTTCTTCGTAACTACTTCACTGTTACGACTTACGGTTCATCGCGATTTCTTCTTGTACGCTTTTTATCGTTAATATCATCGTAACGCAGATCATCGTCTCGACAGATAAATATCGACATTGAATATGTCTAAACAATATGGTAATCGTGCATTTATTTTATGGCGTTGAGGTCGGATCACTCGGATGAACATTTTTCGTTAAAATGACAGACCTTAATTTACTTCTTCAATGGCTTTTTTTATTCGTTTGTGGCAGCTTTTTTTCTAACACTTTGGACTATAATCCAAGTCTTTGTTATAACAAAGAGAATCGTGGTAAAGATTTCACACATAATCCACTAAATACGAATGCTATTCATTTTGTTTAAATCTCGCAACAAACTTTGATGTTTATTCGATCAAAATCTGTGACCGTTCGCCGAGGAAACGAGACACGATTGATTCAATTCGATTCGATTCACAGTTGACCATTCAGCTGCGATCGATTGGAAACTACGATAATATTTTATGTATCCTTTTATTTATCTGAAAATTGCCGAATCAAGCGCGCACGAATATCAATGTATGCATTCCCTTTTCATACGAAATAAAAAAGTCGCATCGAATCGTTTCCATACCTCTTTCATTGTTCGCGCATGAATATTCGCGATCGAAAATTCGCGAAAATTGATGTTGTTTTTATCTTAATTGCCTTCGATTCACTGTATTTCGCAGACCGGAATGGAAATCTACAGTTTATCTGCAATTAATTAGCAGCATAAATCCGTAGTTTCGTAGTCGCGTCACGAGACGACGACTAAAAAAGAATCGGGAATTAAAGGGCAAAGCCGTTTGACACACGCAGCACTCGCATTTCATTCAATTAGCCGCGCATACGACGGACGTTAATTCCGTTTTTCTTCCAGCTAATATATTATTCTTGGAAACATTGCTCTGTCGCGGCTTACAACTTCTCTATCCGGGAAACAACCCGTTCCGTCGCGTCTCCGACTATTTTTCCGCTCCCGAAGTACTAAAATCGCTTCGCTTTTGCTTTACCACGGCAAAGAAACTGTTTAACAAAGTACGAGCGGTCTTGTCAGCCGCGCGCGACAAGAACACGCGATCCAGAAAGCTGTGACGAATTTAATCCATTTTCCCTCCGCTGGCTTCCATCTTCGGATGCTGCTCGGACTTTTTCCCGGTTCTGATGGAATTAACCTCCGCCGCAGCGTTCCCAGCGCGTGTTCGTTCTGCTCTTAAACCGACGCACGTTGATCATTTGAAACGATCGCAGGCGATAATTACGGTAAACTCTCCCTAATCGACGCTCAAATTCTATTTGGTTGGCATTCTTTGTCTCGAATACGATTTTATTCGAATGATTATTCAATCGAATAAAAACTTATCTAGATCGAAATTTAGCCGAGTAAAATTTGATTCTAACAACATTCGTTCATAATTTCGCATACGAAATTATGATTAAATACGAAATTACGAATGCATACGAAATTACGAGTGCATACGAAATTATGTTTGCATACGAAATAATAGTTATGGTAGAGGCTGACCCATAATTATGTTAATACTTGAGAAAGTATAATTCCTGAGGTAATTTGAAGCAACTTCTTCCTTAGCGAAAATGCGATCCGCGGCTTCGTTTACGAGTTATTAAGGGAAAACAGTGACCAATGAGAGCTCGCCTCGCGCTAGGCGGTCGAGCCAATCAGCGGTCGAAGCCCAGTCCCGCTGATTGGCTCGGTCGCGTCACGCTAGCTTAGCTCGCCTCTCATTGGTCGCCGTTTTTCCTTAATAACTCGTAAACGAAGCCGCGGATCGCATTTTCGCTAAGGAAAAAGTTACTTCAAATGGCCTCAGCAATCACCCCTTTCCAGGAATAATTCCTTTGCTATAATTATGAGACACCCTGTAGAACTCGAATACGATTTTATTCGAATGATTATTCAATCGAATAAAAACTTATCTAGATCGAAATTTAGCCGAGTAAAATTTGATTCTAACAACATTCGTTCATAATTTCGCATACGAAATTATGATTAAATACGAAATTACGAATGCATACGAAATTACGAGTGCATACGAAATTATGTTTGCATACGAAATAATAGTTATGGTAGAGGCTGACCCATAATTATGTTAATACTTGAGAAAGTATAATTCCTGAGGTAATTTGAAGCAACTTCTTCCTTAGCGAAAATGCGATCCGCGGCTTCGTTTACGAGTTATTAAGGGAAAACAGTGACCAATGAGAGCTCGCCTCGCGCTAGGCGGTCGAGCCAATCAGCGGTCGAAGCCCAGTCCCGCTGATTGGCTCGGTCGCGTCACGCTAGCTTAGCTCGCCTCTCATTGGTCGCCGTTTTTCCTTAATAACTCGTAAACGAAGCCGCGGATCGCATTTTCGCTAAGGAAAAAGTTACTTCAAATGGCCTCAGCAATCACCCCTTTCCAGGAATAATTCCTTTGCTATAATTATGAGACACCCTGTAGAACTCGAATACGATTTTATTCGAATGATTATTCAATCGAATAAAAACTTATCTAGATCGAAATTTAGCCGAGTAAAATTTGATTCTAACAACATTCGTTCATAATTTCGCATACGAAATTATGATTAAATACGAAATTACGAATGCATACGAAATTACGAGTGCATACGAAATTATGTTTGCATACGAAATAATAGTTATGGTAGAGGCTGACCCATAATTATGTTAATACTTGAGAAAGTATAATTCCTGAGGTAATTTGAAGCAACTTCTTCCTTAGCGAAAATGCGATCCGCGGCTTCGTTTACGAGTTATTAAGGGAAAACAGTGACCAATGAGAGCTCGCCTCGCGCTAGGCGGTCGAGCCAATCAGCGGTCGAAGCCCAGTCCCGCTGATTGGCTCGGTCGCGTCACGCTAGCTTAGCTCGCCTCTCATTGGTCGCCGTTTTTCCTTAATAACTCGTAAACGAAGCCGCGGATCGCATTTTCGCTAAGGAAAAAGTTACTTCAAATGGCCTCAGCAATCACCCCTTTCCAGGAATAATTCCTTTGCTATAATTATGAGACACCCTGTAGAACTCGAATACGATTTTATTCGAATGATTATTCAATCGAATAAAAACTTATCTAGATCGAAATTTAGCCGAGTAAAATTTGATTCTAACAACAATTCGTTCGAATGAGATTGTACTCGAATTTATTCGAACAGGAAGTCGTACAGAAAATCATCGATTTGAATGAAAATGGCAGAATACAAAGGATTTTTTCATAGTTTATCGACTTACTTCTTTCCTATTGCTTCATCGAATTATTCAAACAAGTTTTCGAATTACTCGAATAAAAAATAAGACCCAACGCAGCTGCGAAACCGGTAGACGTCAATCGATAAAATATTGATTAACGAATTTAATGCAAGGTTCGCATTGCGAGACTTTCGAACTATTGGGTTGGCAACTAAGTAATTGCCGATTTCAGTTATAGACGTCTTTCACTCCCATTTTTATGATATCCGTGAATGTTATATTATAAAATTATTATTATTATTATTATTATGTTATTTTTTATTATCCGTGAATGTTGGCAACTGGACAAATTGAATGCAGCGGTCAAGAAAAAGCGACCAGGATTGGTCGATCGTAAAAGTGTCATTTTCCAGCAGGACAATGCTAGGCCGCACACGTCTTTGTCCTCTTGGCAAAAATTGATGGATATTGGTTGGGAATTGATGTTACATCCACCATATAGCCCTGATCTCGCGCCATCGGATCACCACTTATTTCGATCCCTGGACAACTCCCTTCGTGGTAAAACTTTTAATGATGATGACGCTGTAAAATCTCACTGAACTCAGTTTTTGGCCGAAAAGGATCGGACTTTCTACGAGCGTGGAATTTTCAAGTTGTCAGAGAGATGGCAAAAGGTCATCGAACAAAATGGAAAATACATTACAGATTAAACTTCGTTCCAAGTAAAAAGAATTTTTTATTTCATTGAACAAATCGGCGATTACTTAGTTGCCAACCCAATACACAAAAATGGACAATTTGGGAAGAGGAGATACGATTGTTCGAGCCATACGCTTCGTTTTTGTAGTTACCGATTGTCAATAACTATGAAAACGAGCTTCTTGTTTAGAACACTTTTCATTTAGAACTCTTTCGAGGATCATTGACCTCGTTTAATTCGATTGTTCCAGTAACGGCGCACAAGTATTGCGACTCGAATGGAACATGGTTCCGACACCCGGTCTCCGGACAAATCTGGAGCAACTACACGACGTGCATCAACATGAAGGACCTCAGTGTGAGTATGCTACAAACAAATCTAATCTGATCTAATCTTCTTGCCTTGCGATGTATGGTAAATTTTTTCCCTAATCGACGATCAGATTGCGCACGAAAGTGAACGATTTGGGAAGAGCAGATACGAAAAACATTTCTGTTTTCTTTTTCTATTTTCAATTATTGAAACTATATGAAGAAAACGGTACGGCAAGGGGTTAATAAAGCGGTGAATAACGATTGAAAAATATCCTGTTTAAGTTACGATGAAATTGAGAACAAAATTCTTCACGCAATTGAAATTACCGTGAGCAAAATTTACATATTNTTATGTTATTTTTTATTATCCGTGAATGTTGGCAACTGGACAAATTGAATGCAGCGGTCAAGAAAAAGCGACCAGGATTGGTCGATCGTAAAAGTGTCATTTTCCAGCAGGACAATGCTAGGCCGCACACGTCTTTGTCCTCTTGGCAAAAATTGATGGATATTGGTTGGGAATTGATGTTACATCCACCATATAGCCCTGATCTCGCGCCATCGGATCACCACTTATTTCGATCCCTGGACAACTCCCTTCGTGGTAAAACTTTTAATGATGATGACGCTGTAAAATCTCACTGAACTCAGTTTTTGGCCGAAAAGGATCGGACTTTCTACGAGCGTGGAATTTTCAAGTTGTCAGAGAGACGGCGAAAGGTCATCGAACAAAATGGAAAATACATTACAGATTAAACTTCGTTCCAAGTAAAAAGAATTTTTTATTTCATTGAACAAATCGGCGATTACTTAGTTGCCAACCCAATACACAAAAATGGACAATTTGGGAAGAGGAGATACGATTGTTCGAGCCATACGCTTCGTTTTTGTAGTTACCGATTGTCAATAACTATGAAAACGAGCTTCTTGTTTAGAACACTTTTCATTTAGAACTCTTTCGAGGATCATTGACCTCGTTTAATTCGATTGTTCCAGTAACGGCGCACAAGTATTGCGACTCGAATGGAACATGGTTCCGACACCCGGTCTCCGGACAAATCTGGAGCAACTACACGACGTGCATCAACATGAAGGACCTCAGTGTGAGTATGCTACAAACAAATCTAATCTGATCTAATCTTCTTGCCTTGCGATGTATGGTAAATTTTTTCCCTAATCGACGATCAGATTGCGCACGAAAGTGAACGATTTGGGAAGAGCAGATACGAAAAACATTTCTGTTTTCTTTTTCTATTTTCAATTATTGAAACTATATGAAGAAAACGGTACGGCAAGGGGTTAATAAAGCGGTGAATAACGATTGAAAAATATCCTGTTTAAGTTACGATGAAATTGAGAACAAAATTCTTCACGCAATTGAAATTACCGTGAGCAAAATTTACATATTTCATTTCAATTCCATCTCAATGTTATTTATTTTCCGATAATTCATTACGATTCTAACAATTCTCCATTACAATTTTAGATAGAAAAAAGACTAGAGAAATGTCACAATAATTTCATGTTTAAATGTCGTAATAATTTTTGTCCAACAGTTCGAAATTGACGCGTTGTTCGAACGTTTGAAATATCAAGAAGTTTGATTGATGAGTGTTTGCCGAAAAATGAGTAAACTCGCCGAACAAGCGACAAACCAAAAAGCAATCGCGAATCAAAATTTCGTTACGACCAAAGCACTTTCGCGAAAAAAATTCGGCGTACGAGAAAGTACCGTTGTTTCGAATAAAACGAAGGGTAGGGAACCTGTCTGGACGAACGTAGCAGGAAATTAGGGGAAACTGACGACGTCGCAAAAAATGCCGACGCTTTTCCGTGACAAAGGCACTGAGTATCCAGCTGTGCGACGACGACGACGACGACGACGACGACGATGACGATGCCGCCGCGGAGATCCATCGTTTTATTTTCGTCGGTCGCGGTTATAATTTGCCGTAGCCGACTTTCCCGGCGGCCGATCGTAAATTCGCCGTTTGTATCAGATATTAAAATTCTTTTGGAAGCGATGCGCGCCGACGAAACAGCGGGCTGGTCGGGGAGAAGAAAAAAGAATATTATACATAGACGTCGCGCCAGGACCTTCGGCCGAGAGACGAGTTGATTTTTAATCCGCGTTTATTGTTCCCGTTCCTGAATTAACGGCCTCGGTCGCGAAATGGAAAATTCTGCATCGACGAGCTTTTACGTTTGGCCGGGAGTCCGCCCGCGATAATACTCTATCGATATTATTGCCCGGTTAAATGAAATATTAATATATTTCCGCGCGATACGTTGCCCGTTAATGACACATAGCGCGGGATTGGGATACCATTTGTAATTAGCGAGAGAAGCAGGGACTCGTTAAACTAGAAACAACTAATTTTATTGGCCGCGTTTCCGGCGGAACACACTCGCGCATCATGCGAGATTAGTTCGCCATTGTGTGCGGCAGAAATATTTGGAATATAAAATATTTTCTGGAATATTTGGTAATATGTTCGTGCGTGACTTGGGCAGAAACGTGTTCGTAGTGAAACAATAAATAATAAGACAATGAAAATATTCGTTGCAAGAGAATAAGAATATTCGTAATAAAACAATAAAAGTATTCGTAATAAAACGATAAGAATATTCCTAGTAAAACAATAAGAATATTCGTAATAAAACAGTAAGAATATTCGTAGTAACACAATAACAATATTCGTAATAAAACAATAAGTGTATTCGTAGTCGTAAACAATCAAGACATTTGTAGTAAAACAATAAAAGTATTCGTAATGAAACAATAACAATATCCCTAGTAAAACAATAAGAATATTCGTAATAAAACAGTAAGAATATTCGTAATAAAACAATAACAATATTCGTAGTGAAACAATCAAGACATTTGTGGTAAAACAATAAAACTATTGGCAATGGAACAATAACAATATTCGTAGTAAAACAATAAGAATATTCATAATAAAACATTAAGAATATTCGTAATAAAACAATAAGAATATTCCTAGTGAAACAATCAAGACACATTTGTGGTAAAACAATAAAACTATTGGCAATGAAACAATAACAATATTCGTAGTAAAACAGTAAGAATATTCATAATAAAACAGTAAGAATATTCGTAATAAAACAATAAAAGTATTCGCAATGAAATAATGAGAATATTCGTAGTGAAACAATCAAGACATTTGCAGTAAATAAAAAAAAATAATATTCGTAGCGTAACGAAAAAAAAAATATTCATAGCGTAACAATAAAAATTTTCTTGGTAACATTAATAATAGCTACTTCGAGAAACTAACGCGACTAATCGCGCAACAATCGCAACCACTAATGCGAACGACCAATAAGATTCGAGGAAAGAGTTCGCACGATTCGCCAGCGTAAATTGAGGAGTCGCGATCATTTTCTGCCACACGTTCGGAATCAGATTCTAGGTCACTGCGTTTACGAAGACATTCTTTCCCTTATAACATAGAAGGTCCATACTTTGCACCCTCGTAGAGTTTTACACCCCGCCCGCAGCATCGAGGTGCCAAGAAGCATACGCGTTCTTTTTTTTCTCCACGGTGCGCAATAAAAGCAATATCTTAAGTATCGAAGTTATGTGGGTACGCATTCCGATTTCTCCATGGGAATAATGTGCTCGAAATAAAATGCAAGAATCGTATATTAAAAGAAAAATCGGCGCATTGATAAAAAAAAAATTGCAAGCACGAGAAATCCGGCGGTTCTTTAGAACGAACTGTCTGGAGAGTTGGCAACGAATGAAGCGAAGCATCCGCCCTCGTAAACGGATAAATAGGAAGAAATGGAATATAAAGGGAGAGGAGGAAGACTTTTTCATATTCTGAAAACGTCAGAGTTTAATTGGCGACGTTCCGGTTTTTATGGCGTCAAGCTTTCCTCCCGTTTCGTGGAATCGCTAATTTTACAGTTTTATTATCGCCCGACTTTTAAAGCCGTTCCCGAAGTTACAAGCAGCTGCCGAGTGAAACAGTCATTGTTCCTGTTGTCGTTTCTGGCGTCTAAAAAATATGATTCGGTGTCGACGAAACTATATTATTACGTTGAACATGAATGTCATTCATTTTTTCTAAGACGAAACAAAAGTAAAAGACGTACAAGAAACAAAAATTGTCTCGTTCTAATGCAGAAATTATCAACGATGAATAAGTGTAGTTGTAAAAGAAATCGTAATGCCATTTGTATTGTATAAAATTAATAGAATTGATAGAATTGATAAAATTGATAGGATTGACAGAATTGATCGAATTGACAGAATTGACAGAATTGATAGAATTGATAGAATTGGTAGAATTGATAGAATTGATAGAATTGGTAGAATTGACAGAAATGATAAAATTGATAGAATTGAGAGAATTGAGAGAATTGACAGAAATGATAGAATTGAGAGAATTGACAGAAATGATAGAATTGAGAGAATTGAGAGAATTGAGAGAATTGAGAGAAATGATAGAATTGAGAGAATTGACAGAAATGATAGAATTGAGAGAATTGAGAGAATTGAGAGAATTGAGAGAAATGATAGAATTGAGAGAATTGACAGAAATGATAGAATTGATAGAATTGATAGAATTGGTAGAATTGATAGAATTAATGGAATT